TGTGACCTCCTGCCCGCCCTGTCCCAGGGACCCATGGCTACAGCATCCAGGCTCCGCTCCTGGCTGCGACCCCAGCCCAGGGCACATCCCCACGCTGCTTCTGTCATGTCCAGTCTCCACAATGAGGGAAGACAGAAATGCCAGACAGACCTGGGCTTCATTACTGCCTCTCAGTCCTCCAAGCTGAGTGACCTTGAGTGGATTACTCTGCCTCTCTGAGCCTCAATTTCCTATTCTGTAAAACGGACATTGCTAACAACCTTGCTGGGTTGTGTGGGGCTTAGTGAGAATGTCTGTAGAGGATCTGGCACACAGTAGGTGTTTAGCAAATGGAAAGTATGGCATTCAAGGGCTTCTATGAGCTGACCTCAATTTACTTCTCTAGTTGCATTTAAAAGGGGGGAGGGAGGGATAATACCGCATTCTTCTTGATGCTCAGTGGGTACCAAGAACTGCTCTAAACACTTGTATATGTAAAGTATAGAAAAACATTTTATTTTCCTATCACTCCCATGTGGTGGGTACTATTAGTGTCTCCATTTTACAGATGAGAAAACTGAGGCACAGAGAGGTTAAGCAACTTGGTTATGGTCACACAGCCAGCAAGTGGGGAGCAGTTTTTCCATGCAGGCAGCCTGGCTCTAGATCCTGCACATGTAACCACAACTCTATCCTGCCTCATCTCTCTCTTCTTTGTGCATCCTACAAATTATAGTTCATTCCAACTGGATTACTCGCCATCTTCTGCATTTGATCTGAACTTTCCCATCCCTGTGCTTTGGCCCAGGTTCCCTTCTTGCACTGGAATACCCACTTTCCATGAAGCCTTCCCCAAGTCCTCCCTCACGTCCACCTTTGTGGGCTCAGCACAGTTGGACTGAAGGTTGCTATTTGTGCCGATCCCCTCTCCTCTTCTAGCCTGGAGGTGCCTTCTGCTGCCCCCAGCCCACCCTGTGCAGTGTGAGGCAGGAGCAGGTATGCAGTTCCTGGATAGGCGATGCCCTGGCCAGAGCACCCTCAAGCGTGTTCCCCAGGTGGTGTGGAGAATGCAACACTCAGGGCCCCACTGCTTCTGTGAGGACAGCTCACGGGCTGCCTCAGGGAGGCCACCTGCCAGCTGGGCTTCCTTCTCTTTGCTCAGGGGAAGGGACTCAGGCGTGGGAGGCCTCCATGGACTGGGGATCAGGGCTGAACCTTAGAGAGCTTCAACATATGTCCATCCACAAAGGGGACAGGACTGGGAAGCACTTGCTGGTGGGGTTGAGTAGTGGGGCCCATTGTGCTATCACCAGCCCATCTAATTCACAGGAGCCTCAGAGGGTTTCAGGCCCATCCTTGGGTTCCTAGCCCAACGTTCTCAGGGTAACGACTGCAAGAAGCCATCTGCTCAGGGCCCTGTTCTCCCATTCCATCTCTGTCCCACACAGGGCCTCTGGCCCGAGTCAGCTGCCCCTTCCCACTCAGCATGACGGCCACCACCTCTGCCCAGACACAGGTCACTCCCCGGAGCATCCTATCCTGGGAGCATGGGCACTGTCCCAACAGCCCAGCTAGCAGCTCTTGGAAGGGTAGATCCAGCCTCCTTCCTCCCAGGGCCCCGTGTCACATTCATCACTCATGGTTCCACAGTCGGGTCTGGCTGCTCACTGCATGTGTGGGGCTGTGCTAAACACGGGGGACACAAAGTGAACAAGGCAGACGCTGTGTCGCCTCGCAGAGCTCACACCCAGTGGAGAGCACAGACCATGACACCAGCAACGGCAACACAGGAGGGGAAAGTGTGAGGTGGGGGATGTGCAGGCTGCCACAGGGAGGGCCGCTGACCTGGGCTTCCAGAGGCGACATCCAAGCCGAGGCCTGAGGATGAGCGGGAGCTGGCCACGAGAAAGGAAGGAAGGAGAGCGTGTTCTCAGCAGCTGGACAGGCTACAGAGAGCAGGACGTGTGCAGATGGGAAACGAGGACAGTCTGAAACTTGGAACACTGAACACAAGGTGAGGACTGGTGAAAGAAGAGGCTGGGGGCTAACATTCGCTGGAAAATCGCAGGCCCATGGAAGCCATCAGGTGTCCCGAGCAGTCTGGTGCTTCCTCCAGGGTGGGGTTTCTGTCTGGCTGGAATGGCCATCAGAGAGACAGAGTCCCCGTTCTGCCACTTCCTCCTTGTTCACTTAAGTCCCCCCCTGCTGCCATCTACACCACTTCCTGAGACTGGCTCATTGCCAAGGGTGAGCAGCACTCAGCAGATGGCCGGCCTTGCTAAAGAGGCTGCTATACCATCAGAAATGCCCTGCCCAGGGCCGGCCGAGTGGCGCAGTGGTTAAGAGCTGGCTTGGGAAGCCAGAGGGCCCCGGTTCGGATCCCACATATGAGGGCCAGTGACACTGCCCTCCACAGCTAAGATGCTGAACAACAGCTTGACCTGGAGGTGGGCTGCTGTGAGTCGCCTGCAACGGCGTAAGCTGCAGTGGGGCTGCAGTGGGTTGCCATGGGCTACCGTGTGTAGCCAGCAGCCAGTGTGAGCAGCCAGCAGCCGCCGTGAGCGGCCGTCCAGAAGCCGGCGACTGATGTGCCTCGCCAGGGAAGAGCGCAATGATGGTGCCAACTTAGGCCAGTGAAGCAACGTCCTCCACAACTAGACTGAAGAACAAAATGATAGCAACTTGTCTGTTCCCTTCCCCAAACCCCCCCCCCAAAAAAAGAAAAACAGAAATGCCCTGCCCAGGTTAGCCTAGAGAAGACGAGGGTAAAACATCCGCTTGCAGTGTCCACATGGGCTGTGGCTATCCCTGAAGCCAGCCTCCCCAGAGCTTCTTGGCCTGAACCAGCAGTACTCCCTGTCCACAGTTATGAAAAAAAAATGAAAATGTCCTTGTGTGTGCCCTTTGGCATCTCGGGCTGCCACCACAGCAGGACAGACACACATGGGTGGCATCGTGGCAGGGTTAGGGGTAAGAGCACTGACTCTGGAGCCAGGCTTCAGGGCTCAGACCCAGTGTTGCGCTCACTAGCTGTGGGAAGCCCGCAACTCGTCCTGCCTATGTTGTTCTGTGTGCCCATCTGTAAAATGGCGATAACTGCGGTACCTACCTCAAGAGGTGAGAACTCAATGAGGACAAGGCCCAAGAGGTACTAAGTAGGCGTAGCACACACTGGTTGTCATCACCAATATCTCTTGTGCACCCCGCCCCTAGGCACCTGCACCAGATGCAAAAGGACTCAGAAAAGTAAAAGCAGAATAACATCTCTCAGAGTAAAAATAAGACAGGGTGTCTGACCTTTATGGTCAGGGTTGTTTCAGTTCTTCATCCCCTGCGAGAATGCCCTCCCCATCCTGACTCTGACTCACAGATTCTAGGCTCTAATCTCAGCCTCTTCGGGCATGTCTGTCTTTAACCCTGCAGCAACAGGCCTTCTCCAGAGGCGAGCCAAGGGCCACCCGGCAGCCCCGCCTGCCCATGTGGTCAGAGTTGTGAAATTCTTTGCTGAAAATCAGTACAGTCTCAGCCAGGGGGTGGCCCAGTTTGTTTTCACAAAATTTCCTCAGATAGCGTTGCTTTGGCTCAGGCACTTTAGCGCTTTCCAGAATCCTACAGATGGTGAGGGCAGCTGGAAAAAAAGAGAGAAGGAAGAAGTGGGGAAGAGAGTGGGAGAGGCCCGGGGCCAAATCTCAGGTAGCTGTGTGGGCTCGCAGGGCCGGGCATGGGCACAGCATGTGTGAACAGGCACGTTCACTCACACAGGGCGGGTGGAAAGCAGATCAAAAATGTAGAGGAGGGCTTACAAACATCTAAGCTGTGCAGCCTTCTTATGAAACAAGCTTCGTCAGAAGCCTGGCTCTCACTCTATAGAGGCACATTTCTAAACTCACAGGTATTAATTCACTTACAGCCCTATTACCTATGACCTATTATATCCCTTTTACCATTAGGAAACTAAGGCCCAGAGAGGTTAAGTCACTCGTCCAAGGTCACAGAGCTACTAAGCAGTATTGGGGGCATTCTGGCTTTAGCATATGTGCTCTTAACCCTTATATATCTTGCCTTTTAGAATAAGTGTGTCTTTGTGTTTATATGTGTGTGTGTGTGTGTGTGTGTGTGTGCATGCACTTGTGCCTACAAACGTTGTTCCAGTGTATAATGGCTGTTTTTTGAAATATTTGTATGTAGGGGTTATATCTGAGTGTGTGTGTGTGTGTGTGTGTGTGTATTTCAGCCCATGACAATGTGTGTGATGGCCTGTGAGTATGTGGGTTTGCAGCCTCTCCCACCAAGGCTGCAAGGTATAGGGCTCACACACTAAGTTCCCTATTAGCAGCCTGGCAGCAGTGAGACAAAGGGACTCCCCACCCAGAGGCAGCACCCAGAGACTTCTGGCAGTGCCTGCTCCCCAGATTCCAGAGATTTCTGTTTGCTGACCCAGCTCGGCACAGCCACATACAATGAGAAGGCCCCTGAGCCACTCCCTGGGTCAGAGAGAGAGACCCTCAGCTGCCAACCCTTCCGGGGGAACTGCCCCCACGCCAGCGCCCTGGTTCTCCCCTTCTCACTGGGTGCTGGGTTTTAGAGTGAATCAACTGAGTTAATTGAATTATCAAGTTACCATGAATTTGCTTCCTCCTACCCCACATAGTGCTCCGAGCTTCTTGAAACCACTGGTGTGAACTCACACCACCAGCACCATAAGCTGATAAGGCCTAAGCTGATATGACTCCAGTTCCAAGCAAAGAACCTTTACATTCTGGTTAGTCCAGGAAACCCTACAACGTACATGTATGGTTTTTGAGGGCTTCTTCACATGCGAGTCCCACCTTGGAGTGGCACACGAGAGGGAGAATTAACTTTGCTCCATCCACTCTAAACCAATGTTTATGATGTAAAGAGCTTCTTCAGATGCCACAAAACTGGGAAAAGCACTTGCTATTCTCTGTCGTCAAAGTCAAACTCACCGACCTAGAGACCACCCTCTGCCTCGCCGAGCAGGGAGAGGCTGGGAGACTTACTCAGATGGAGCCAGGCTGAGCTGCAGCCCTCGGCTGTCTTCTCTGCCGCATGCGCCTCCTGCCCCAGCCGCCAGTGTGCCAGCGCCCTGCAGCACAAGGACAGACCAGTTATGGGTGTGTTCCCTGACTTTTGAAGCTCCCAAAGTCAAGAGGAGGGGCTGGACTAGGAGAGGGCAGGAAAGAGGGAGCTGGAGAAGGCAGCCAGTGAGCCAGGTGTAGCCATGGGAGGGGAGGCCAGCACACAGCTTCCAGGCTGGCCTCTGAGATGGCTGTTTACTTGTGGCATTCAGGAGAGGCTAAGCTGGGCACTGGCTTATTTATTTTCCATACTTTCCCTGCAAATCCTTTTCAGAGAGTCCTCCGGAACCCCAGTGATAAATTTCCCAGGGCCCAGAAAAACCCACAGTCCTTTAGCACACAGCCATCTTTGTGGGGAGGGATGGCAAGGATGGAGACACAGTTACTGGTGGCCAGGCGCTCCCATGGCCTGCCTGCCCCCTCCCTCCATGCTAGGGCGGGGGCTGCAGGAGCAACCAGCCAGATTTGAGGCAATGGAGATGAAGGCTGAGTGTGTCCACCTTCAGGCACAGAACAAACTGTCCAGTCAGCCAGGGACCACCCCACATCCAGCTGTGAAATCCACATGCTCAGGGCAGGACAAGCAGCATTTTATCATTTGTTTAGGCACCAGAGAAGGAAAAAAAGGACAAGTATTTCTGTTTAAGGAATGAAAAGAGAGCTGTTTTCCTTTCCTCCTGTGTGACTTCATGCAGGGCAGAGACCTCTCTGAATGTTTCCTCATGGCTAAGATCCCCCTGGCTCCCCTGCTTTGCGACTTCCCAGCGGAGGGACTCACAGCCTGTCTGTCCCTGGCCTTCACCCATCATCTGCCAATGTTCCCAAGTACTTCCATGTGTGAGATACTGGGGTGGAGCCAGGGGTATAAAGATGAATAGCCCCGGTCCCTCGGATGGGCAGCTTCTCCCCAATTTCCATCCTGGATAGCATGTCCACCCCACAGTGGAGGCGGGGAGAGGGGCTTGAGCACACTGCAAAGGCTCTCAGAAACGCACCCAGGTGGGCTTCCTGTGGAAGGTGGGCTGGGGCCTCTGGGAAGTGCTCCTTGTTTAAGGTGGCCAGCTTTTCCCATACTATGGACACCTGTATCAGAGGTTCTTGGGGCAGAAGTGAGGGTGGGCTGAGCAGTGAGGACCCTGCCACAACAGGAGAAATTCTTCTCGGCCCTTGAGGGGGTATAGAATACAACCAGGCTGAAAACACGGCTGCCCCTAAGTGCCTGCAGGGGTGTCCTGAAGGCAGCATGGCTTGCGGATCCCTAGCTTGAGGACTGTGGGCATCTACTGTAGCTCTCTGGGCCTCATTTCTTCATCTGTAAAATGGAGATGGTAACCACTGTCCCTCTGTGGGGCATGTATGAGAACGCATAAGCTGGGGACCAGGTGAGCCACGTGGTTATCGCTGCTCCCCCACCTTACTGCCTTGGCTCTCCTGAAAACCAGGCACCGCAGAGGAGTCTAGCTCTGCAGGGCACGTGGTGCGGGGGTGGAAAGGACAGCCATGACATGTCCGTTTATATTCACCAGGTAAGTGATGGCAGGAGGTGGCAGCTGAGGGCTGATTTCCCTGTGTAACAGATTTCTATCCTGGCGAGGGCCGAAAAGGGTAAGGAATATAGTAATCCATTTGAGAACGTTTACCTGACAATTTCTCCCAAACCCAAACTGTGCTTATGTCTCTACTTACTGTCTCTACTTCTCAGATAAAGAACAAATCATCTCTCACTGGAATTACTGTAACATCTCCCTGTAATCATTCCCAAACTCCCAGTTTCCAGACTCCAGATCCACTTGAGCAGCCTGGTGCCACCAGCCTTTGATTCCCATGGCCCATGGTGTAACCCAGGCTGGGCAGAGTGTGTGGAAAAAGAGGACTGCCGTCAGAGGCCCCAGCACCATGGTAGTAAGTGCATCAGTGTTGCTTCCTTGTTGCCATGGAGAACCAATAGGGACCTTAGAGACAGCTTAGCTTGGTGGAGACAGCATGGCACCAAGGTCAGACTGTCCAGGTTCAAATCTTGGCTCTGGCCCTCACTAGGTGTGTGACCTTGAAAAAGTTACAGTACTTAACTTTTCTGAACCTCAGCTTCCTAATCTATAAAATGGTGATAAAATGCTAACCTCACAGGTATGTAAGGGCTTAATGAGAAAAATGTATGTAGAGCCCTTGATTCACAGAGACATAATTAAGGTGGATATTAGGAAGGGACTGGCTTCAGCCTTCCACCTGAAATTGGGGGTTGCCAAGCTCAGATCACTTCATCTCTCATCTGGGGCCCCAATCCTGGGTGCTGTCCACATTCTGTCCTAATTTCAGCCTTAAGACCAGTTAGAAGCTTGAATTGCACACTGAACCTAGTCACAACGGGACAAGGGTGTGGCTAGGATACATTTCTTCGTGATTACATGGCTCTCACCTCCTTGCACGCGCTCACTCCCATGCCAGTAGGGAATCGTTCCCAAGGCTGCTTGCAATCCCAGTTCCAAGAACACGAGATGTTGCTGCTCCTCTGGGAATCTCAGGCCAGCTGGCACAGAGGCCCCCCACTTGATGCTCAGTGCAGGAACTGTGACCACCCCTCCACCTGCTGCCACCACGGAGCCAAGCTCCTGCTGGAGGACAACTGCTCTTAGACTCATCACAAGACCCATTTCCAGCCAGGCCCGCAGGAGCCAGGTAGAAACACCCAACACCACCCCCAGGTTAGCCAGCTGCCAAAATGGAGACTTTCCTGCTGTCCCTTCTTAGGGGAGCAGAGGCCAGTGATGAAACTCAAGTCCTCGATGGCCAGCCCACAGGGCACAATGGAACCAGCTGCTGGGGCCACTTCCCCAAATAGATCAGGCAGGGCTCCCTGTAACCACTCAGGAACCCCTCCTCTGCAGGAAGACCAATTCCAACCCAGCCGAGGCCACCAAGCTTGGCTCATCGTGAGTCCTTAACAGATATTAATTACTGGTGTCATTATTCATCAAACAACTATTGAGTGCCCACTATGTGCCAGCCACTGTGCTAGATCCAGGACAATCCTTAAAACATCCTGGGGCCCCAGAACACCCAGGCATCTGAAAACACAACTTCAGGTGCAATGAAAATACATAAGGCTTCAGAACCGCCCTGGTTTCTCTGTAAAATTGGAATCTCAGACATCTCCCACCCCACTTTACACATCCACGCCCAGGCCTGGAATCTCCTCAGCATCCCCCTTTCAAGTCCCTCTGAGGAAACACATCCGCTGGGGGGAGGGTCTGTGCTTCCTTCACAGGCCCTGTCACTGCCACCACCCGCCCAGCTGTCCAGCTCAGCACCAGCTTGCCAGCCTTTTCCACTCTGCTCACAGACCCCAGCACGCCAGGTCTGAGTTTATGAATCACTCCCTCCTCTCTCTCCCCACTTCGCCTCCGGAAGGGCTGTGCACACCCAGACACATCACCCAGACACTGAGTTTTCACACCAAACTCGCTCCTGATGTACCCGGAGAACCCACTGCAATGTCTGCTTTCCCCTCCCCACTTCTCGGCCTCCAGGTCCTGGCCACGACTTTCCAAAGACAAGGCAGCCCCACCCCTCCCCGTTGCTCTTTGGGGGTCCTCACTGGGGACCGCAGGGGCAGCAAAGACTGTGGATTTATTTAAGGGCAGGAGGACACGCTTGGTCTACAGATCCAAGTCTCCGCGCTCCCGGAATTGTACATTTCGGTCTTCAGCGTGTGCCTGGTCCGTGTGGCGCGCCTGGTCCGTGTGGCGCGTGCTCAGAGCGTGTGCGTGGTGTTTGTGCTTTAGTGATGATGAGCTGTGTGTACCTGGCAGTTGTGAACCTGGGTGCAGCGGGTCTAGGGGCTGTGGGTGCCTACGTGGAATGTTCCCTGAGCCGGGAACTCCCTCTCCCTCCCTGCGTTTCATCCTCCAAAGTTTGATGCGCGGGGCCGGGACGGGGAAGGTAGGGGACGCACGGCCGGGCGGCCTCCTCCCGGTCCCGGAGGCGGTTCCGGGACGCCAGCACCCAACTTACCCCAGCCTCCGAGCCTCCTCCAGCGGGGGCGGATCCGACTCTTCGCGGCTGGGGTCCGGCGCCGGCAGCATCCGCTCACAACTTTTCCCTCCTCTCGGCAGAACCCGCTCGCTCGCGGTCCCGGCTCTGCGCCCTCCCCCGGGGCGGCAGCGGGGAAGGTCGGAGGGAGGCGCGGCCCGGCCCGGCCGGTTCGCACGCCGGGCGGGAAGAGGCGCCAGGCGGGCGCCGTCCTGCGCAGCGAGCGAGCGATCGGTGCTGCCTGGCGCCCTCCCAGCTCGGGCCCGAGCCGGCGAGCGGCTCGCGGCGGCGGCGGATTCCTGAACCGCGTCCAAGGCGCCCGGGGAGCCCTCCTCCTCCTCCTCCTCCTCCTCCTCTTCCTCACCCCACCCAGCTCCCACCCCTGCGCGCCGGTAACTTGGGAACCGTTGGCGAACTTGGCGCAGCTCGGGCTCCGCGCGGGCCGGGCCTCCGGGTGGAAGTAGGCGAGGAGGGGGAGGAGCGGAGCGGGCTGGGTGAGGGGGCCCGCCCCCGGGGAGCCGTGCTCTCCGGGACCCTTCGCTGGGCCTTTGTTCCGGACGCTGCACCTCGGCCCGCCTCTCCCCGGGGACTCGCTTGGAGCAGCTCGGATCCCCAGCCCCTCCCAGAGTCTTGGGAGGGGCTCCTGGGCCTTGGGTGGGTAGGTTCGGGAGATGCGGTGTGGAGATGGTCGCGGCTTCACCCTGTCGAGCTCCCCAGCCAGTTACCGGCCTCCCATCTGTTCTTCCGCAGACAGACCCCTCCGGCTGTGAGGGTTCTCCGCCATCTCTGCCCTGGGGGGATCTCCCCACTCCCGCTCCCCCTCATGGGACCGGTGGTCCCAGTGACGGTCCCTCAGGCTTCCAAAGACGACCACACCACCCCCTCTCTGGGCGGTCACAAGTCACCCACCCGCCCTTCTGTTCCTTCTGATGCCGCCAGTCCAGGGCTCCCCTAATGCAAGTCCCTGGAAGTGAGAGGGAAGCAGGCTTCATGTGGACCCGCTGGAGCCACTTCGCGGGATTATTGTCTGACCCTCTCGGGTAGCTGGTGCCTCCGGCCGGGGGCTGCTGGATGAGTAGAGTCCCTGTCGCCTCCCGCGCGCGCGTGGGGCAGTGCCCAGCTGGGCTCTGGGTTACAAAGCTAGCTTCATCGGGAACGTGATGAAGGGCTCGGAATTGGAACACAAACTGAGCCCCCCTCTTGCATACTTGCAGGAACCCTGGTGATGGGCACACTCTCAGGCTTTGATTCCAGCTTGCTAGGCTTTTCTCCTGAGTCCCCCAGCATTTAGCAGCATGAGCTAATTCAGGCCTCTCTAAGACGGTGGTCCTGGTATTTAATGGGAATCGAGTTTAGACACAATAAGTCATTTCCTGTAAGGGAGAAATAGGGGAATCCCAAAAAGCAAAAACCTCAACCTTTGCACTTGTCCTCCCCCTGTCATTCTCAACATTTGTCCACGAGAAACCCAAATAGAATTGAGCATGACCTGGGCCTTCCCAGGAGCTCGGCCTCACACTGGGGGAAGTCAGAGGTCCCTGTTCATTATGAGGGTGGAGACCAGTCCAAGCTTCAGCCAAGCCTGTGGGCTGGAGGGAGCCTGGGTCAAGTGCTCCGGACGGTGAGGTGAGACCTGGGTTTCTCTTTTAGCAGAAAAACTCCACTGGGTGCTTTGGTTAACAGTTCTGTGGCCTGCAATAGGGGACCAGAGATTTGGTGAGAATTCAGACCTCGGCTCACCTCTAGGTGAGCTCCCTGAATACCTCTCTCCACATCTGCATCTCCTGGCTGCTCCCACAGTCACATCAACAGGGGGCTGGCCTCTGGCCTGGATCAGCCTGCGCACTCACTCGCCAACAGGTTCTCAGAGCCAGTATCTTCATGCATGGGTTTCTCCAGACTCCATCACCTCATCTCAGAAAGGAAGGTCTCCATGTCAGTCTCACAAATCTGTCACTTAACTGCACCTGCTGGCCTTATACGGGAGGCCTGTGGGACTTGTGGAGTCCTGGATTTTCTTGCTAGAACTTGGTGATGCATTTCAGAGGGATACAAAGGCTGAAACCTAGAGCTGTGCCACTACCAGATTGTAGAGAATGGGATTCTGTGCTCCTGAGGCAGGGATGGGGAGGAGGAGCCACTGGAAAATTCCTGTATTCACCCAATACTTGCTGAGCACAGATTGGATACTGGGGCCCATAGAGGTCAACAAGTCTTCCTCCCACCTTCTGTCTAGAGAAGACAGACCTGTCTCTAAATAAATCCTAGTGATATAATGTTCTATGTGATGTGAGGATGGGGCTAAGGGCCTCGGGTGGGGGGTGTTTCTAGAACAAGACCACAGGCTTGCACAGCAACTCCAAGGGACATGGGACACGTGGAATAGGATGTGACTGTTGGCCCTCAGAACTGTGCAATGCTGCAGCTTATTCCTGGAGCTGAAGACCCCAGGCCTGGGTTTAAGAGATGAGCTGAGGTCTGCAGGTAGAAAACAAGATAGAGGTCGGACAGGGCTTTCTAGGTGAAGGGACACAGAATTGAAAGAAAAGTGTATGAAAAGGTATTCATTTCCCGAGCTTCAGGCTGGCATGACAGCCAATACTTGGGTCTTCAGTGAGTGAGGGTCTCCTGGGTGCAAAGGAGGGGTATAGGATAAAGGTCTGATTCAAGGGGCAGCTGGTTGGCTCAGTTGGTTAGAGCGCAGTGCTCATAACACCAGGGTTGTCGGTTCGATTCCCACATGGGCCACTGAGCTGCGCCCTCCGCCACTAGATTGAAGACAACGACTTGACTTGGAGCTGATGGTTCCGGGAAAAACACACTGTTCCCCAATAAGATTTATGGGGCGGGGGGGAGTCAAACCCAACGCATTGGGAGTTTTCATCCTAAAATAGTGTCTAGGCTCAACTTCTTTCCACAATTGCTCTGACGACAGAACCGGTCTCAGTCAGTTTCTTTTCTTTTTTTTTTTTTTAACCCTGTTTGGAAAATTGAAAGAAATTTCCAGGCCAGAGGCAGTCCTGCAAAATGGTTAAAAATGTGGGAGCCTGAGCACCATGTTAACCAAGCAATCCAAGTTAAGGTCACTAAGAATAGGAATCCTGTGCCTTCTGATGTGATATGATGAGGACACGATGTTGAGTATGAAATATTCCTGGCCCCAAATGCATCACCTGAATCTAGTCAACAGGACACATTTAACAAACCCAAACTGAGCACATTTACAAAATAATTGGCCTACAATATTTAAAATGTCAATGGCATGAAAGGCAAAGAAAAAGTCCATTCTAGATTAGAAGAGCATAAAGAGACATGAGCTCTGTGGGAAGCAGACTCTAAAATGGTCCCCAATGACACAGACACAATCCCCCACCCCAACCCCCAACCCTCACTTCCACCCCACAGCCCTCACTTCGAGTTCACACCCTTGTGTAATCCCTTCCCCTTGAGTGTGCTTGGAACTAGTGACCTGCTGTTAATGAATAGAATACAATAAAGGTGATGAGATGCCGCTTCTGAGATGACAAAAGACTCTAATTTAGGTTACAAAAGACTGACATCTGCCTTGCTAGCATTCTCTCTCTGGCTCTTCTCAATCCTCTTGGTCTGATGAAGCAAGTTGCCAAATTATGAGCTGCCCTGTGGAAAGGCCCATGTTTCAAGGTACTGAGGGAGGGAGAACTCTGGCCAACATCCAGCAAGGAACTGAGGTCCTTAGGCCAATAGTCTGCAATGACCTGAATCCTGCGGATAATCACTGAGTGAGCCTGGACCCAGGTCACACCCTAGTTGAACCTGGAGATCACTGTTGCCCTGGCCAACATCTCAATTGCAGCTTTGGGGGAACCTAAGTCAAAGAGCCCAGCTAAGCCACATCCAGATTCCTGACCCACAGAAACTGTGAGATGATAAATATTGTTGTTTTAAACCACTAAGTTTTGGGGTGACTTGTTATGGAGCTACATATAATGAAAACAACCACTAAATGCAATATGTAATCCTAAACTGGATCCTAGAACTAAAAAAAAAAAGTATTATGAGAGACAGTATTTAGATAATTGACAAAATATAAATAGGGACTGAATGAATACTGATATTGTGTCAATGTTAAATTTCCTGAATTTGATAACTATACTGTTTTGTAAGATGATGTTTAGTTCATTAGAGATACACACCGAAATATTTAGGGTCGTGATTTCTGCCACTTCCTCTCAAATGGTTCAGAAATAATAGAAAATATACTATACATATTATATATCACGTATATATTATAGAGTTTCATTTACCAATTAGTCTGCTGTGTAACAAACCACCTCAAAACTTAATGACTTGAAACAACAAAAACTCATTATTTCTCACAATTTTGGGGATTGACTGGATTCATCCGGAAGGCTCCTCTGCTCCATATGGCATCAGCTGAGGCCACTGTGTTGTATTCAGCTGGCAATTGGGTTGGGCTGGAAAGTCCAAGAAGACTTTGCTCTCATGTGTGGCACCTTTGTGCTTTTCAATGTGGCCTCTCCCCCCCCAACCCCCCCGTGTGGCTATCTTGGGCTTTCTCCCAGCA